GCCTTATAAAATACCAACTAACCAGTTTCCTGCCCAACTGAACAAGGTTTCTAAGAATTAAGGGTGAGACACAGGTACTTTAGAATACATACTACATAATTATGATGCAACCATCTGAAAGCTAACATTCTAAATATCATAGTAGTTTATTATATATGGAAGAACTAGAACTGGATAGTAATATAAACAAACATCTCTAAATTAAACATTTCTTACATAGAGTCTTACTGCTTACTGATTCTAACAGGCTAATAAACAAAAAGTAAAACTGTCTCACCCTGATTTATCTTACCGTAAAATTTCAGTAATAGATTAATTATTAGAGCCATACAGCTTCACTAGAGATCAAACTAATTCCACTTTAATTACTCTATTGTTTATAAGCATTTCAAAACAATGGACAGAAAAAAATGTAAATGATCTGCACCAAATTCTTATTAAATGTTATTAGAAAGTTGAACTGATAGAAACTATTTGCAGTGAAGTATGTGCTTAGAATACCTGAATCACATATCAGAAAGATGCTGAATTTGACACTGTTACTAAGTGCCCTGTAATATCAATGATACTACAATAAAAAAAAAAAATATATGATACTACAAAATAAACATAAAAACGCACATATACACAGGATACTTGATATATTCTATCACACCACTATGGAATCCCTCCAGATTTCTTGCAGATCTTTTTTAAAAAGAAAGTTCCCTAAAATTCTAAGTATCCTAGGAACAAAAACAACATCTATATCTATATACTCCTTACCACAAGTAAAATAGTTTTGATAGACTTTGGCACATATTTTTAGCTATTTTAGTAAATAAAAAAAATTACAGGAGAAGCAAACTATGGTTTCTGATTTCAGACACTAAATAAAAATTTCAAAAAAGTCTACATTGTCTTTTAATCATTAAAAGTTAAATGTAGCCAGGGATGGTGGTGCAGGTCTGTAATTCCAGCTACTTGAGAAGTGGAGGCAGGAAATATCAAGTTTGAGGCCAGCGTGGGCAACTCAATTACCAAGACAGTTTTCAAAATAACATTTTAAACAGGGGTTGAGAATGTAGATCAGTGATAGTGTGTTTACCTACCATGTGAAGGCCCCTCTGTTCAATGCCGTATATGGGTCAAAATGTTAAATGCAAGCCATAATTACAAATCACTGATAGTTAAGGTAAAACCATTTACACTACCTAGAATGACCCAGAAAAATCATTACAACCAATCCATATCTCAAACACCAGTGTCAACCTCAGAAAACTCACAATTTAGAATATAACCCCCCAATCTACAGCCATTTGTATACACAGCTAGGATTACTCACATTCTTTTTTTTCTTTCTGATAAAACACATGTCCTAACTGAACATTTGCCCAAGAAATTATAAAAGTACTTGTCCTAGGTGGCCACAAAACCTGGGAAAGCAAGTAAAAAGCAAAACTTAATATCATAAAGCCAGTGATTTATTCTGAATGCAAATATGTTCTCTAAAATGTCGGCCTCTACAGCAATCATAACACTGATGAAGAGATTTAGAAGGACTCTTCAGCATACAGAAATGTCAATATTTGAAAGATAATACTACTATTAGCACTTTCAAGGAAGAGAAAGTAACTGCTACACTCTCCTGGAATGTCATTCATCACTAGGAAGGTGCTGGCGGGATTTTCTTCTAGGCTACTTTATTGAGCAATATAGTTAGCTCTGTGAGTAACAGAACAGTTATCCATTACAAAGCAGTACTCAGAGAATCTGTGCAGGAAATAAAACCCAGTGCTAAAGGTTTTGGCCACAGATATGTTTATCAACATCAAAAATAACAACTATGGGGATAGGAAATCGAGGTCAGCCTGGACAACCTATCTCAAAACAAAAAAATAAGAAGTGCTAGAGGTATAGCTCAGTGTTAAAGTGCTTGTCCAGCAAGAGCAAAGCCCTAGGTCAACTCTCAGTACACTCTCCCAAAAAAAGAGAATATAATATCGTAGCTACCCTACTCCTCATATGTGGAAGTATTACAACCAGTTTTATCAAACAGTTGCATTTTTAAGAGATCAAAAGTAACACATATAGTGTCAATACAGGCAGTAATCCATATACTAGACAAAGTTATCCAAAAACACTGAACTAGATAGAAACAGTCTTGATACTTCAGACTTCGATGTGAAGCCCAACAAGATAGTCATGAATTAATGCAAAATAATTACATACAACTCAAGATTTTCCATCCTTAATACAAAGCTACTTCTTTCCTAACTTATAATACATTACTAAGTGATGAGCTGTCGTACAGGAGAGGATATGCCTATCTTTTTTTTTTATAAACAAGTTATAAAAACTGTAACATTTTGACTTGTACATAGTCAGCCACGTCAAGAGATAATACAGCACCAGGTTTTTCCATTAACTATTTCTAGCCTTAGAACAATATTACACTGGGCTTCTTTACAAATTTCACAGATAAATGCAATGAGCCAATATACTACATCAAATCATTCTTAAGATCCTTGAATTTAGCCAGGAAAAATGATATACTATAAAACATTACACAGAATTTGATACATACACAAGATAGGTAACACTTAGCCTTCCCCACCTCTTCAGTGCCTCCATAAACTTAGTATCTCTTTTTTATCACTCATAAAACCGTTGAACACAAGCAATCTTGTCATAAGACTGTGAACTTGAGGACCAGAAATCCACCCTGGTCATCTATGTTACCCCCACTGCCCTGATAAGCTCTGGTCATAATAGTCATTCATGGAACACTGAGTAAAAACAGAATACTTGTATTGCACTTGGATAAAAAGGTGAAATGAGACATACAAGAAACAAAATAAATACAAGATAAATTTTAAGATCATAGTAACAAGATCAAAGAGGCAATGGATACAAATTAGGAAAAAAGCACTAGTCTGGACAGCTTGTGATATCTTGGGAATTTAGATTAGTTCTAGTCTAGGTTTTGGCAACAGCAAATGTTATAACCCAAGCAAATCATTTAGCTTCTCTGGATCTCAATTTTCTCATCTGTAAAATAAAAGGTAAGACTAAGTGAGCCCCATATTTCTTCATATGCTATATGGATTATATGAAACGCAGCAGGATCACCTACTGAAAAACAGTAATGGAGAAAATATACCATGGTAGATGATACAACTGATGAGCAAAGGAATGGGCAAATACATAAGTAGTAACAGGTCACATCAACAACAGCCAAAGCCAACCAGGATATACACACATCTCTAATCTGAAAATTACTGACACACTCACTCATCCAATATTTTAAAAATCAAGTTTGCTGGAAGCAAAGATTGAGATATAAAAATGTTTACTATTCCTTAGTAGAAATTAAAACATAAATTATGTATCCACACACACATACAAAAAAGCATCTTTATGCTCTTCTACAAATGGGAAGGCGCCTTAAAATGAATTACGTAATTGTTAAGGTTAGAATATTCCACAATAGTTTAGCAAAAATTAAGCTTAAATATGTACTTCTAAAGGTGTGCAATTTCTTTCTGTCCCAAAAGATGAATCTTCTTGAGAAATTAAAAACAAAACATAGGCCAGGCAAGGTGGCACTTTGTCTACAATTCCAGTTGCTCAAAAGGCTGAAGATGGAGGATCTCAAGTCAAGGCCAGCCCGAGCAACTCAGTAACACCCTGTCTCAAAACAAAATTCTGAAAAGGCTTAGGAATGTGCAGTGTTTGCCTAGTATGTCTGAGGTCCTTGGTTTAATCCCTAGCACCGAATGAAAATGAAGAAATGGGGGGCTAAAGGGGATGATAAATAGTCTAGGGGCAGTGGTAGCAAACCTGTGGCACACGTGCCCCAGTGGGCACCCATAACCTCTCTATCAGCACAAAAGCCAAGTCACCCCAGTACCCAAATATCAGACGACAGCTGTTTTTCTAAACTAAGCCTTCAAAATTCTGGTTTAATTGTAGTGTTGGCACTTTGTGATAAGTAAGTGGCTTGGGAGTTGCAGTATGGTGTCTAAAACCAGTCTAGGGATATAGATCAGTAGTAGAGCACTTGCCTAGCATGCACGAGGCTCTGGGTCCCCCAGTACCTCAAAAAGAAACCAAGCCAAAGCAAAAAAACATGCCATAAAGGAGATCAAAAACACAAACCTGAATATCAACAGAACTCAGGCCTATATAACAACTTCATAATCAAAATAAATGTCTTAACACAAACCTTCTCCCTCAGAAAAGTAGCAACAGCAATCAATTTTTAACTTGACTACCATAATCAACACAATTTCTAAAATCTGTATTTTTTAAAATGTAAGCTCAGTTCTCAATATTATAGTATCACAGAAGATAATAAAAAACTAAAATGTAATATTTATGTTATTGAGAGATAGTAGAACATTTCACAAGTTGGGCCTAGAGATCATGGGGGTGTGTCCCTGAAAATGATACTGGGATGCAAGTCTCTTCTTCTCTCTGTGCTTCCTACCCACCATGAGGTGAGTGGCTTCTTCATCCTTATGTTTCCACTGTGATGTACTACTTTGCCACAGGCACAAATGCAACATGGTCTATCAACTACGGACTGAAAATCCTTGCAAATATTTTCTTCCTTAACAGTTGACATATCTCCAACATTTTGCTGAAGTGATGCAACACTATCACAACAATTCAGTAAAATATGGGCAGAAACTATTAGAATGCTGCTTCTGTTTTTTTAAAATCTGAAAGTAATTCATTTTAACTAATAATTCATTTTAACCCCCTCACATAAACTTACAAATACACATATAACTGGGGTAAAGAAGCTCAAAAACCTTTCACAAAAGGGATTACTATTCAAGGAAATATTGAGACCATTCCTAAAACAACAAAGGCAGATAAGCCCTAAGAGACAAATGACTCTAAACTGCACCAAAGAGAAAGCCTATCCAGCAGTTCAACACCCTACAGCTCATATACAAATAAAGGTTTTCCAACTCTCTTTACATAGTACATATGATATAAGCATAACTTACCTCATCCTGGACTCCACTGGTAGTGGTCAACTTGCTCCCATCAGTAATTGTAATAATTATTGCTGGCTCCAAGAAAAAAGGATTTCTTCCCTAAAGTCAAAAAACATATTGATCGTATTAAGGTTCAGATTTCAGCTTAATTTTTTTTAGTAAATTAGTAAAAGGTCAATTCTTTTGACTCTTTGTGTACAATCCTTTTCTTGTCAGTTTTATAATATACTCTAGCTTGTTCAATTTTTAAAAGGCTTAGGATGCAAACTAAATAACAGTTAACCCTAAAAAAGTAGGGGTGGTAGACTTCTATATATTTTGATAGTGTCTTAACTTTTACTGTGATTAAGTTTATGTAACTTCAAAGTATTTAATGTCTTAAGAGAAACACTAGTAGTTGAATTCTAGTAATTTTGACTTTTTGAGTTCTTATAAATTAGAATAAAAATTGTACAAGAACCTTTCTTGGGCAACCCATTCGAGACCCCTCCTATCTCTCATGAGCTATTCCTATTCCCCATTTATTTTCCTACTCTTAACCTCTGCTCTTCCTTAGAATTCATTCCTCAACTTCAGGGAACACAAACTCAGCATAGCAGACTTCTAGCATTTCCCTGTATCATCTTGGAGGTCCCACCAAGATATGTGGAAGGAGTGGCTTGTGATTAAGTGTCAGGCTCGATTTGCGCATGACTCTCCCAGCACTCAACCTGTTTGCCAGCAGCAGCACTGTTCTCAGCGAAGACCCAGCTCAGCACTGGGGCTGCCCTTGGCACACACAGGATGTCCTACAGGAGCTAAAATGGAACATGGAATCTTCCAAGCACCAGGACATCTGAAGACACACAAACATTTACACCAGATTCCCTAAGGACTTTGCCCACTGAGTCCCCAGGTATTCAGAGAACTTTGAACATAGATGTTTGCTTGGATCTCCTCACATGAGGTCCCTGACCCTCTTTTGTCCAAGGGCTATAAAAGGGCTGTTTTTCTCTACCTCACAGACAGCCTTTTCACCCTCTATCTGCATGCACCCAGGAACAATAAATTCCATACCATGTTGCCTTAACCTTTCTTAAAAACCAACAGTCAGTAGGTAAATATACCCAAATCTACACCTATAATCCAAATGTCTGAACAAGTGACTAGAAATATGGATAAGAGGACTATAAGAACTAGCTCCAAGGAAATACCAGGTCTACTCTGAGCTCAAGAAAATTTAACAGTAGTCAAAGAGGAAAAATTAAAATTAGGTAATGTCCCCTTAAAAAAAAAAGCTTGGAGAATTAAAAATAAAACAGGACCACAAAGACAATGGAATAAAATGAAGCATGGCTCTCAAATGTTCTCTATATAAAGCAAAATTAATTCCAACACCTTCCATTCAAATCTTGGACCACCCAACTCCGGAACTGTGACAAGCTCTAGCTGACATATTTGGTGGGAGATTAGGACAAACATAAGCTTGTCTCTTACATGTTAATGATTCTCGTTTGAGACATTAAGTACACTGAGTATAACTCTTTAAAACAAAATTAAGATCAAAAGGTAAAAGTTTCAAGAGAGTAAAACCCGTATCTGAAATTGAAGGTTCACCCCAGCACAATGATGCATTTTACAGTCCCAGGTACTCCACAGACTGAGGAAAGACTGCTTGAATTCAAGAATTCAAGAATTGAAGGCCAGCCTGAGCCTTGCAGAATCACATTAAAAAGTAGGTGTGACAGAAAAGACTAAAGTTTTGTACTATCTCTCCCCTGCCTTTTACACTACACTTATTCACAGTAGCTGCATAATGTCATCTTTCTGTCAATATTACTATTTACCATAAAATTAATTCCCTTAAATTATCACTTACCCATGAATTATATCCCACTATTATGATTTTTGTTTTAAAAAAATGTAAAATTTTAATTGGTATGATTTACTCAGTACAATGTAACATTATTAGCTATCTGCTAATTCTCTAATTCTTTTAAGAGCCACTATTTTATAATTTAATCTTAAGAATGTGTATATAGTCATTCAACTTGAGGCCAATCCACTAGAATTTCCGTCCATATTCACTCATCGTAAAGTTATAACAGCCTTTGTCATAATTACTATATTTAAAAAAAAAAAAAAAATGCTCTGCCACAACAAAAGCAGCCAGCAGAGGGACTAAAAGTTTACTTTTGCCATTGCCAGAATAAGCTCCTAAATTTAACTTTCAGAGCAATGTCTCCTGACATAAAGAATTCTAGACGTACCACTAGAAAATATAATGCCAAGTACAATGTTCTTCCTCAATAGCTGCTTATGAATGGTTATCTTTGCCAGTTAGAAAATCTGATTTTAATGTTGGCCAAGCTATTAAGAAGTGAAAATTTCACTTAAGATTTCCTATTACAGTTCTCTTAATATTAAGGTATAAAATCTCAAGAAATTTAAGAATTCTCATAAGCAGATATCCACTAGAACCTGTTTTTCCAAAGAGTATGGTTTGGAAAATGCTAAAATATTTTGAAAATGTAAAAGTAAGGTAATTTCCAATATAAACTAATGTATCTCAGGGTCAAAAGCCATAAAGTTACTCAAAAATTTGAAAATGTAGTGGGGGAGCATAAATTTATTTTTTTTAACTGTATCCTTAAACAAGTCTTAACTAATCTTCTGATCCAAAAGCAAAGCAGCCTTTAGCACTCAGTACCAACTGTAGCAGCTGTTATTTGCTCTTAGGCTAAAAGACCACAGTTTTCTTTCTCTGTAACACACTTCATTGTGAGTACCAGTTCTTTGAATGATCTTGTAAAGCAGCAGTCAGGTGCCTGTGAGTACAGCAGCACAGCTTTCCCATAGTTTAGTCTTCTATTAAAGAAAAGTTTATATCTAGTTAGCTCTCTGCCTCTCCCATGACAGAAGTTAACCCATGCTGATTACTCTTGTTTTGTTTTGTAATGTTTTGAAGTAAGGCCTCTCTATGTAGCCCAGGTTGGCCTCAAACATGTGACAACCCTCTAGCTTCAGCCTCTGCAGTGCTGAAATCACAGGCGGGAGGTATCACACCTGGCTCCAATTACTCTATTTTAATATTTTTCTATATGCCAAGAAAGTGATGGCTAATAGAGGTTAACAAACAAGAGCTTAAAATATAAATCTGTAGGTCACACTTATCACCAAGCAGTAAAAATAGAGAATATCCCAAAATAAGAGTTTATGCTTTTTTGCCAGGCGTGGTGGCACACCCTGTAATCCCAGCACTCGGGAGGCTGAGGCAGGAGGATCGTTGCAAGTTCGAGACCAGCCTGGGCTACAAAGTGAGCTCAAGGCCAGTCTGAATTCCATAGCGAGACCCAGTCTCAAAAAGACAAAAAAAAAAAAAAAAAAAAGAGCTTATGCTTTTTTTCAGTATGAAACTTCCTTCTCAGGTAAACAGCAAAAAAACAATATAAAAGATGGAAAAGGCTGCACTGAGAAGTACTACATCATTACTATTCATAGGCATATACTGGGTATTTCACAGAATTGCTGTTAAAAATCTTTCATTGGTTAAACTGCTAAACCAAATGACCTGTGGGTTCCTTTATTTAGATCTTTGTACAACCTATATAGATAGTAAAAATAAAGAAATAAAGCCTGTATTACGTATCATGCGACTTTTCTGTTACTACAGATAAAAGGTAACATATGTTCCTCTAAAATGAGAAACCATCTCATATTCATTTAAAAACATTTCTTCATATTTGACTATGTAAGTTTGTCAAAATTCAGATACTATAAAGCAAAGATTAAAATAGAGAACCATTAGTATTAAACATATTCTTCTACTTTGTTTATTGCTAGAACTGCAATCCAAAAACTTATTACTTGTATTACTAATAATCACCATTACAACTACACACACCAAGAAATTTTCTTTTTATACACTGCAAGTCACCTAGACTAATATTCTCTAGATCAGTAGTGTTTAAACTTCAAGCTTTTCCACACTACAGTTATTTTTCCACGTCCTCTTAATTGCTGTACTCACATTTACATACTTCTCATCTTGAAACCAGTTCCATTTCTGTGAGCCTTAAACTACAATACGTATGAAATCATAGTTTTAATGTGCCAGATCTTCTATCCCATAATTCGCTGTGAATATTATTAGTTGTTAATACTATTAGTCATTGTGACTACTATAGGTTTTCAAAGGATGGGAGGTTTGTTAAATTAAGATGTATATACAAATAATTATACATTCCAAACAAAATGTAATTAATGAAGCCAATAAAAGCCTGAGATGTTTATACTTAATATTCCAAAGATTTACAAACTTTACATTTGTTTTAATATTCAGAAAGATTTTATTTTTGCTGTTATGAATGATACTAGTATGGCATAAATGAATCTTTTGATGGCCACCTTTTAGAAAAATTCATTTTAAGAACTTAGTGTTTTTGTCAGGGGTAGTAACACAGGCCTGTAATCTCAGGCACTCAGGGTGAAGGAGCAGGATCACAAAGTTGGAGGACAGTCTGAGAAACCTAATTAGTGAAACCTGGACTCAAACTTCAAAAAAAAAAGTGCTGGGATATAGCTAGCTCAGCACTCCCTGAGTTCAATTCCCAATACAGAAAATAAGAAAGAATGAAAGAAAGAGAAAGAAAAAAATAATTTAGCACTTTAAAAATAATACCTTTGGATATATACAAATGATTTCTGAAGGATATCTTACAAAACTGATTAGCTATGATTGACTCTGAAAAAAATGGAACTTTAAAAAATCAACTGCATTTACTACAAATTCAAAACGAATACTCCTCAAAATTAAAATGTTTAATACCCCAAAATAAAACTTTTTAAAAACCTACTAGTGTAGGAAAATCTAGCAACTTAATCCATGAAAACCTATAATTACATAAAACCATGTTAAAATTACACACTAAAAGAAAGTATTACTTTTAAGTAAATCCATTATATAACTTTATATCAGTGTAATTTGTTTCAGCCATATAATTCTTTATGTGAAAAACATGACTGCATTAAAAACAGAATAAAAGGGCTTAGGGAACCTGAAGTGGGAAATCTCACATATTTATTTCTACTTAATGAGTAACACCATCCTGAAATTTCAT